CCAAACCCCAAACTCTGAGCGCTAACCCCAAACCCGAAACCCTGAACCCTAAACCCCAAACTCTTAACCCTAAACCCTGAACCCACACACTACCAGGAAGGGCGGCGTCTGCTTGAAGCCCTGAAGCCCAAACCCTCAAAGATGACTTCCCAAAACATTTTGAGGGTTGGGGGTTTAGGGTTTAGGGTTCAGGGTTTAGAGGAGGAAGGGGCATTTGCGGGGCTTAGAGCTTATCTAGTGCCTCTGGGAGGGGGGTGTTCTCTAAGCCCTGAAAGAGAATAGCTTGGGGTGGGGCTGCTCAGCTATGCAAGCGCGCGATAGCGCGCGCGTAAGTCCTAAACCCTAAACCCTGCCCGTCCTCAAACCACCTACACCAGGGGTTCTGGGCTGAATTCTGGGCTCTTTGGTGGTGTCTTTTGTGTAGCGCACAGGGAACCGCAGAGGTCCGTCTTAAACCCCAAAAAACTGTGCCAGGCTCCAGCTTCATGGCTCTGGAGTCTGGGCTTCGGGTTTCGGGTTTAGGGCTTGTAGGGTTTCTTGTTTAGGGCCCTAAGGCCAAGCCCCTAAACCGTGATCGCAAGATTTGGAGTTGAGGGTTTATGGTTTGGGGCTACCCTAAACCCTAAACCCTATACCCTAAACCCTAAACCCTAAACCCTGAACCCTAAACCCTCAACCCTAAACCCTGAACCCTAAGCCCTAAGCCCTAAACCCTAAACCCTACACCCTAAACCCTAAACCCTAAACCCTAAACCCTGAACCCTAAAGCCTGGGCCCCAGCGACCCCGAAAGGTGGTCCTGTAGGATTTTCCCCACGTCCATGGACCGCGCGGCGCCCCGAAATTTCAGACATCCTTGGATCGCGGCTTTGGGGGGTGTAGGGTTTAGGGTTTAGGGTGTAGGGTTTAGGGTTTAGGGTTTAGGGTTTAGGGTTTAGGGTTTAGGGTTTAGGGTTTAGGGTTTAGGGTTTAGGGTTTAGGGTTTAGGGTTTAGGGTTTAGGGTTTAGGGTTTAGGGCCTAGGGTTCAACATCTCTGGTCCAAGCATTCACAAAGGGTGTTTGGCATCACCCCACGTGTTTGGCATCACCCCTCCCTCCCAGAATCCCTTTTCATCTGAAATATACATATCTTCTGGTTTACCTAACCTTTTTGCTTATCACCAACCAATTTTTCTCATTCGGCTCGCAACATAGCCATCTACTACCAGCCCATCCCCAAAAGGCTTCAAAAAGCATCCAAAAAAGAGGGGAATTCAGGATTTGCCTGCTCCCGCAATGAAAAATGCTGTGTTTTAGTACTGAAATCCACGGTTTCGGGCCCCTCCCTTTTACCCCAAAGCACCACCACAGCCCCAGATAGCTGTCAAAAGCCCCAAAAAGCTTCAAAAATGCTGTTTTTAATACTGAAATCGACGGTTTCGGGGCCCCTCCATTTTACCCAAAAGCACCACCACAGCCCCAAGAAGCTTTAAAAAGCCCCAGGCTTCAAAAAAAAAACAGAAAGGGAACCCAGGAGTTGCCTTCTCCCGCAATGAAAAATACTGTTTTTTAGTACTGAAACCGACGGTTTCGGGGCTCCTCCCTTTTACCCCAAAGCATCACCACAGGCACAGATAGCTTTCAAAAGCCCCAAAAGCCCACCAGAAAGGTGGGAACCCAGGATTTGCCTGTTCCCGCAAGGGAAAATGCTGTTGTTTAGTATTGAAATGATGCTGTTTTTTACCTACCAACATAAGCTCGAAACAATACATTTTTGAAGGCAAACTTTCCCCCTCAAGGGATCCTAAACCCTAAATCCTAAATCCTAAATCCTAAATCCTAAATCCTAAATCCTAAATCCTAAATCCTAAATCCTAAATCCTAAATCCTAAATCCTAATCCTAAATCCTAAATCCTAAATCCTAAATCCTAAATCCTAAATCCTAAATCCTAAATCCTAAATCCTAAATCCTAAATCCTAAATCCTAAATCCTAAATCCTAAATCCTAAATCCTAAATCCTAAATCCTAATCCTAAATCCGAAAGGCCAGAAACGCCCCTGCACCCTAAACCCTAAACCCTAAATCCTAAACCCTAAACCCTAAATCCTAAATCCTAAAAACCTCAAAATTTAATCAGACGACGATCCCATTAAGGTTTAAATATACATAGGTAGAGAGGGTTTAGGGTTTAGGGTTTAGGGTCTAGGGTTTAGGGTTTAGGGTTTAGGGTTTAGGGTTTACGGTTTACGGTTTACGGTTTAGGGCCAGGGTTTAGGGTTGAGGGTGTAGGGTGTAGGGGGTGTGGGGTCATGCCCTCAAGCAAGCAAGCGCTGGGTCCCGAGCAGAAGTGCTGCACCCCAAGGCGGTAAGAGTGTTTTTTTTTTGTTGCGGGTGCTTTTTTGCTGTGGGTGCGGGGGCGCGTTTTTTTTTTTGCTGCGGGTGCGGGGGCGCGTTTTTTTTTTTGGCTGCGGGTGCGTTTTTTTTGCTGCGGGTGCGGGGGCGCGTTTTTTTTTTTGTTGCGGGTGCCGTGGGGTCGCGTTTTTTTTTTTTGCTGCGGGTGCGGAGCGTTTTTGCTGTTTTCTCTATATTTTACTATGAAAACCTCTATTTTCTCTAATTTTCAATAGGAAAACCTCTTTCTTCTCTATATTTGAATAGGAAAACCTCTTTCTTCTCTATATTTGAATATGAAAACCTCTGTTTTCTCTACATTTAGTATGAAAACCTCTACTTTAATTCGAAAACCTCTATTTCTCTATATTTTATAACGAAAACCTCTATTTCTCTCTATTTTTGTCTATATCGTCATAGTTTTCCTCTATATTTCATGAGGAAGACATGAGAGAGGAATACATGAGAAACTTATTGTCTGTGTTATCTCAATGTGTGACTTGCAATTAAAAGTGTTTTGTTCCTCGTGTCCTATTTTAATAGGAAGCCCGTTATTTTCTCTGTCTCTGAATAGGCAAACCTCCATTGTCATAACATTTGAACATGAAGACCTCTATTCTCTATATTTGAATATCAAGACCTCTACATTTTGATATGAAAACACTTTGTATGTTCGCTATATTTTCGTATGAAAGCCTCTATTTCCTCTATGTTGTCATAGGAAACATCTAATTTCTCTATATTGTATAGCGAAAACCTCTATTGTTCTATAGTTTTTTTATTTTGTCAGTATTTTCAGACATCTTCTCTTTGTTTCACGAGGAAGACATGAGAGGAATACATGAAAAGCTAATTCTCTATATTGTCATAAGAGTACATGCATTATCTCTATCTGTGACTCGTAGACAACAAGTGTTTTTGTTCATGTCTCATAACACAAGCTCTATTTTCTCGATTCTTTACTAAGAAGACGTTTATATCTCTATTTTTAAACGGAAAATTCAACTTCCACTATAAGGTCTGAATTTTCGTAGGAAAGCAGGCATATATTCCCTCTTTTTTCAGGGGGTTGGGGGCTGCGCAGACCGCCGCATTTGAAAACACAATGCGCGCATCATGGGTTTGGAAGGGATTCGTAAGCTTTGAAGCAGGCTTGCCGGCTAAAAAAAGCGGGGGGGTTGGGGGGGGGCGCAGCCCCCCCCCATTTGCAACACAATGCTCGCATCATCATGGGTTTGGAAGGGATTCGTATGATTGAAGCAAGCTTGCCCGGCTAAAAAGCGCAGCCCCCCCCCACCCCCCATTTGCAACACAATGCTCGCATCATCATGGGTTTGGAAGGGATTCGTATGATTGAAGCAAGCTTGCCCGGCTAAAAAGCGCAGCCCCCCCCCCCCCGCCCCTTTCAAGCGGAGGGGAATGCTCTCATGATGGTTTCGGAAAGGATTCATTTGCTTTGAAGCAAGCTGGCATGGCTTTAAGAAGCGGGGGGGTTGGGGGGGGGCGCAGCCCCCCCCAATTTGCAAACCCAATGCTGGCATGATAGGCTTGGACAGGATTCATATGCTGAGAAGCTAGCTGGCACGGTTTTAAAGAGGGGGGGGGTCGGGCGGGGTGCAGCCCTCCCTCCACCGTTAGCAAACACAATGCTCGCATGATGGCCTTGGGAAGGATTCAGTGCTTTGAAAACGCTTGCACAGTTTAAAGGAGGGGGGGGGCGTTGGGGACGGGGTTGGGGAGGAAATTGCAAAAACAAATGACCTGGGGGAAGGGGGGGGGGGGCGCCTTTTTTTTTTTTGCTGCGGGTGCGGGGGCGCGTTTTTTATTTGATGGGGTGCGGGGCGCGTTTTTTTTTTTTGCTGCGGGTGCGGGGGCACTGCGGGGGCGACACGCGGGGGGAGGGGGGGGGGGGGGCGCCGTTTTTTTTTTTGCTGCGGGTGCGGGGGCGCGTTTTTTTTTTTGCTGCGGGTGCGGGGGCGACACGCGCCAGGTCACTTACTCACCTGGGGGGGTGGGGAGGAAGCGGGGGGGAGGGGGGGGGGGGGGGTGCGTTTTTTTTTTGCTGCGGGTGCGGGGGCGCGTTTTTTTTTTTTGCTGTGGGTGCGGGGGCGCGTTTTTTTTTTGCTGCGGGTGCGGGGGCGACACGCGCCAGGTCACTCACTCACCAGGGGGCGGCCCCCGAAAAAAGCACCCACAGCAAAAAAGCACCCACAACAAAAAAAAAAACACGGTTCCCACCCCAAGGCCTACAACAAAAACCTCAGAAACCGCAAAAGCCCTAAATGGGTTTAGGGTTTAGGGTTCAGGGTTCAGGGTTCAGGGTTCAGGGTTCAGGGTTCAGGGTTCAGGGTTTAGGGTTTAGGGTTTAGGGTTTAGGGTTTCGGGTTTCGGGTTTAGGGTTTAGGGTTTAGGGTTCAGGGTTTAGGATTTAAGGGTTAAGGGTTTAGGGTTTAGGGTTTAGGGTTTAGGGTTTAGGGTTTAGAGTTTAGGCCTTGGGCCCTGGGCCTTTGGCCTTCGGCCTTCGGCCTTAGGCCTTAGGGTTTAGGGTTTAGGGTTTAGAGCACAGGGATTCGGGAAACGTCCCGAGCAAAGCCCTTAGAGTAAACCTGGTAGCCTCAACGCCCTGACCTAGTCGGAAACGTCCAGGTCTCCCAAAAAGAACTCCTCTATCTCGACAGCACCGCCTCCGTTCGCATGGCTCATTAGGGTTGCTTAGCTTTTTGTTTTTGCTTTCGCAACGCTGCCGGAACTCTGTTGCGAGGGTTGGTTGAAATTCGGGCCCCCTGTGGGAACATCAGGGGTTCGATTGCCAAAGCTTGCTTGCATGAGGAGAACCCTATCGAAAGCTATTCGGAGCATCCCTGATGTGGTTTTTGCCTTTCGACGGAATGTTCACCCGCAGTTTTCAGGCATGCTTCAGGGCCTTTCAGACTCAAAAGGCGCGATGTTTCCAAAACGCACTTGTCCACTTTCGTGCGCTCGCGAACAACCCGTCGGAGCGTTCTTGCTTCACGGAGTTCGAGCTGCACCGGGGTTGGCCCGAAATCCTGCACCCGAACGGGGTTTCTGAGGCCTGCAGGCACGATTGCAGACTTGGTCTGTTGCGCCTCCAGTGGAACCCTTGTGGCCTAAACACCACAAACACCCTGAACCCTGAACCGGTTTAGAGTTTAAGGTTTAGGGTTTAGGGCTTAGGAATTAGGGTTTACAGATTAGCGTTTTGTTTAGGGGTTAAGGTTTCGGGTTCCACCTCCATCCACATCCAGCAGCTTGAAAAAGGACCACCTTGCACTGGCCGGGGGGGGGGGGGCCAGGGCAAGACTGCTATTTGAGATTTCAGCTCTTCAATTTCGGGGGTCTAGGCCAAACCCTAAACCCTAAACCCTAAACCCTAAACCCTAAACCCTAAACCCTAAACCCTAAACCCTAAACCTAGGCTTCAGGGTTTAAGGCTTGGGTGTTGGCCCCTGGGCTTTGGGGTCAATTTCGCTCGCGACTGCACGACCTTTATCCTCATTGCCTTCTGCTACTTGCCTTAGGACCCTACACCCCAAACCCTAAACCCCAAACCCTAAACCCTAAACCCCAAACCCTAAACCCCAAACCCCAAGCCCTAAACCCCAAACCCTAAACCCTAAGCTCATTCAGTGCTCGGGGTCTTTGATAAGCCAAGGTGGCAAGCGAAGACGTTTGAAGACTGAACGGGTTTAACACCCTAAACCCTAAACCCTCTGAACAGGTTTTAACACTCTGAACCCTAAACCCTAAAACCCTAAACCCTAAACCCTAAACCCCAAACGATGATCGCCGAGTCACGCATCCCACACGTCCAACCCCAGCGCTTCGAAGTACTGACGCACAGCTGGAGATTTTATCTTCCTTGGTAGCACAGTCACCCATGGTTTAGGGTTTAGGGTTTAGGATTTTGGGTTTAGGGTTTAGGGTTTATGTGACCCCCCAAGAGTAGGAGGATCCCCTTTAGAAGAAGGACCCCAATAGGGCACCCCTAAATACCGTAAAATAAGCCCCCATATCATTTAGACCAAAGAGGAACCTAGAAATAAAAGGGCCTTTTTGGTTTAGAAGGGGCTTGTAAAAGGGGAACTGAAGCCCCAAAAAAGGGAACTTAGGGCCCACTGTAGAAAGGGCACGTGTTTCTGGGTTTAAGCGGGAACCTTGAACCAAAAGCCGGACAGAAGGGCACCGCTGGGAGACCAAGCTTCTCTTCGAAGACCCCAAGTGTGAGCACGCCGCTCTCTTCGGCGCCAATTTCGCTGAACAGCGCTTTGATCTTCGTGAGGTGCGCGGTCTTGTTGTCAATCATGGATTGAACAACCATCGCGTGGTCATTCTGCGCACTTTCAATAGCACTTTGGCAGAACACCTTGGCAGACGCCGGAAACAACAGCGTAACTAACTTTGTGCCAGGGATAAGCAGCTATTGAAATCTGCAACTGAAAGTTGCACACATGTTCAGTTAAGGGCTTCTGACCGACAAAGAGGAGTAGCAGCACTACTGGGCATCCTAGACGTCGAAACGGCCGAGGTGCTCCAGTTACGACCTCGGACGCACACGTCAACTGTCTGCAATTACTTGCAAGCGTTCTTGCGCCTATGTGAGCCAACGCAGTTGTGGTAGGCACAAGATTCGGATTCTTCTGGGCATCCTTTGTCGTCTCACAACCACCCCTGCACCGGAGCGAGCTTTCCATTGCATCCGAGACTCATTGAGTACAGCAAAGTACGTGAAAGCTATGTAGAACCTTCGCCGTCGGAGTTTGTGGCGTTTCACTTGTGAAAGGCATTTCTGAACTAAAAAATCTTGCATGGCATGAACCAGCAACCTGTTTGTGAGAGTATGACATCAAGCCTGGCTTCCTGTGCAAACAAAACCTGATATCCACAATCTCCACCATCAACCGGGGTAAAGCGAACGGCCATGGTCCACTCCCGGCTGGTTGCAGATGCTGCATGCGAAGGTAGCATTCTGGTGTTGGTGCCCCCTCCGAAGTTGCATGGGAGGGCCCTCCAAACTGTCACAGGGGGCATTCGGGGGCATGAGCAAACATCTGGGGATCATCGCAATTTCTGGGAACCAGAAAGACTTGCTTCTGATGCGCTCAGGGGCAAAAAAATGTCAGAAGCATCAAGCGAAGCTCACTCATGCTCAGCCCATAACAAATCTCGCAAGTAGCTCCCATTCTGGAGACCTGACAGCTACCACAATTACCGCGCGCCTCACGGCCAAGTGTCCAGACACTCTCGCCAGGCACGCGGGAACGCAACGAAAAATGCAAAGCGGCACATAGCTGTGCAAACACGAACGCAAAGAGAAACGCAAGTTGCTAATGGCTGGGGGCCACATCGCAAGCGAGGCACAACGCAATAAAAACGCAAACAAAACGGACAATAAGCAAAAAACAAGGGTTTTTCTAGGCTGCCCAGTAACCAAGGCTTAAAAAGGGTGCCCGTTTTTGCTTAAAGGGGTTGGGGAACCTAAACCCCCCAAAAAGGGAATAAGGGTACTACTGGGCATCCTAGTTTTTTCCACCCGGATCTGCCATCCCTATTGTTGCGTTCTGCTTGCCTTCTTCGTTGCGTTTTGTTTTGTGGTTTAGGGTTTAGGGTTTAGGGTTTAGGGTTTAGGGTTTAGGGTATAGGGTTTGGGGTTTAGGGTTTAGGGTTTAGGGTTTAGGGTTTAGGGTTTAGGGTTTAGGGTTTAGGGTTTAGGGCTGAGGGCTGAGGGTTTGGGGGGGGGGGGGGTTGCTGACGTCTGGTCACGCCTCCTCCCCCTCCCCGCCGGTCTTGTTTCGCGCCGCCCAAACGCCTTGACAAGTCTCTGATAGGCCCAAGTCTCCATTGCGACGGCAGATTGCGATATTTCGACCACGTCCTTGCCTGAAATCACCTGCGCCCTATCTGCCCCGGTGTTTCGAGAGCCTTGTTTTTGGTATTCTTGCGATTCTTGCGTGCAGGAGACCTGGTTGCAAGGTCTTGGCCTAAAAACACAAAGCGTTCAAGAGCGTCAGAACACTTTTTTCAGGACTTCAGTCCAAGGGCTCCTAACTTGGAGGACACACAGCAAAATGTGTACGCAAACAACCGCACAGACATAGGCCAAAGAACAAAGGCAACAGAAACAAAACTAAACGCATAAACGTGAAATACACAAACAAACCCGAAGTTCGAGAGGAAAAAAAGCAAACGCAAACGCAACACAAACAAAACACAAAGAAAATGCAAAACGGAAATGCAGAAACAAACATGAGAAAACCACCGGGACACAAACAAAAACAAGCAATACACTAAAACCAACATCTGGTCACGTCCTAGTCTGTGGCCCAACAATTTTTTTCAATCTAGCGCTTTTACTTCTTCCACGCCGTGTCTGCAAACATATCCCTTAAAACGATCGCAGACTATTTGTCATCAAGGCAAAATTAAGATAAGGTATCATCTTATATTCTGCCCTGAAGGTATACTATATATGTATATATGTATGTATAACAAGCGATGCAAACCGATGATACGAAATCGAATGCGACGTAAACCAAAAAACAATCTCTAATTTCTGGGGCCACAAACCTTGCCTTTTCTCGGCCCGACCTGCCAAAACCCCCTCTCCCAAGCGCTCGTTGAACGCTGCTCCACAAGTTGGCCCGCCAGCTTCGGTCGTCACAAGAATGGTTCGGGTTTAGGTCTTGCAGGTCTTGCCACTGCAAACTCCAAAACATAAAACCAGAATCTTTAAAGGTCTAGGGCTTGGGGGATCAGGGAGTGTTGGCCAAGAAGCAGGAAACAGAATGTCCAGATCGGCGAAATCCTGAAGAAAGGCATGCTGGCAGCTCCATATCTATCTGTCGTGCCTGCATACAAAACTGATTTCTGCTTCGAAAATACACATGCGAGTAGTTCTCTAAATTGGGGGTCCCTATTTGGGGTCCTTATTAGAAGGTGTTGGGGGTGACTTGTCGGAGGCCCTGAACTGGCGATGGTTTAGGGTTTCGGGATTGGCCCAAACCTCCACCTCCTTCCACAGCCGGTGCGAGGGGGCCCTCCACCCGAAAAAATGCAGGCTGTGTCAGGGATGTGTGGGAGAACCTGCACAACCCACACACCAGAATCAGAAGTTGTTCCAGAAGATCTCCACTAGCCGCAAACCCTAAACCCCTGAGCCCAAACATCAAACTTCAAAAAGTTCGGACCCTGGTGAGCCACGGGACCGAGACAGTTTTTGGGCGGCTTCCCAACATTACTCCACCTATCTTCGGGGGGCCCTATTACCTAGTGAGGAACATACAAGACTTGCGGTCTAAACCTCAAACCCGACACCCTAAACCGTACTGTTTAGGGTCTTATCT